GGCCATTATTTTTGAACTTCGTCTAATTATATTTATATTTTGACTGTAGTTTTAGTGCAATTTTATCAGTGTCACTACTGTACTGTACTGAATAAACNCTTTTTTTAACCATTTACAGATTTTCTAAACATCAGGGTTCCATTCAAAACTTAAAACACGAGCAGTCCAGTTTATATTCAGGTGGATTGAACAATGAACAGTAATAGAACTATACCAGTCTGATAGTGTTTATTACTATACTATATCTGAATCTGAAATCACACACAGTCCACTGTATTTGTAGGTAGTGTAAGTAGTCATGGATAGAAGGAGTCTGGCTTGTTTGGTTTTAATTAGTTTTGATCTACCCCAAAATATAGTGAACTCTTCATTTTAATTTAGACTGGACTAGGCTTATATCTTAAATAATTATTCTACATGATGTTCGTGTTTATGTTCGTGTTTATGTGTTGAATGGACTAGGCTAATATTATTCTACACGATGTTTGTGTTTATGTTCGTGTTTATGTGTTGAATGGACTAGGCTAATATTATTCTACACGATGTTTATGTTTATGTTCGTGTTTATGTGTTGAATGGACTAGGCTAATATTATTCTACATGATGTTCGTGTTTATGTTCGTGTTTATGTGTTGAATGGACTAGGCTAATATTATTCTACACGATGTTTGTGTTTATGTTCGTGTTTATGTGTTGAATGGACTAGGCTAATATTATTCTACACGATGTTTATGTTTATGTTCGTGTTTATGTGTTGAATGGACTAGGCTAATATTATTCTACACGATGTTTATGTTTATGTTCGTGTTTATGTGTTGAATGGACTAGGCTAATATTATTCTACACGATGTTTATGTTTATGTTCGTGTTTATGTGTTGAATGGACTAGGCTAATATTATTCTACACAATGTTTATGTTTATGTTCGTGTTTATGTGTTGAATGGACTAGGATGTTTATAAATATTCTAACTACAATATAATCATGTAAATAGTGTGATAATTATTATTAATTTTAAATATTTTCTTAGCTTCAAGAACACTAGTGTATATAACTTACAGGATTGTTAACAGGTTTTCTAGACTTTTTATGTGTATCAAGGACACATTTGACTTCCATTTGGGTCAATTTCGGTTAACTCTTTCTGGAATTGCAGGAACCACAGGCATCAGACAAAGAATTGGAGTGTCCCTAATAGAAGTCAAAGGTGTCTTCGATATATATAAAAAAGGCTAGAAAACCTCTTTACAATCCCTTAAACTTTCAGTATTATTTCTTCAGACAGTAAAATTTAGTTCTATATTCTGTGATATAAAAAAGATTTAGCTTATATTTATAAGTTTATTTTGAATGTTATATAAATATATACAGTGATAAAAATAACCTCTTTATTTTAACAGATTGTTTTTTTATATTTATAAAAGATATGACTACAATAAAATAGTCTGATTCTCTTAAAATAGTTTGTGTCTTTCCTCTCTGAGTTCTTTCAAACCGAACTCTTCTTGTGGAATGTTTTCCTAATTCGCGAATTAGAAATGAAAATTTATATAACTTTTTGTGTGAATATCTATTGAATTAAACCCATTTACCAAGTGGCCTGTTACTACATAACGTAATACACTTTAATTAGTTAAAATCAATAAGCTTATACAAGTCCTATCTTTAAACCAAAAATCAAAATAATCAGTGAATTTATGTGGCAAGTCAATCAAGATATAATAAAACTACAGTCTAATACGTCTCTCCTCAATGAAAATCAGGATATGGACAGAGAGCCCTATTCCTTTAAAATTTCAAAAAATTATCAATTGACATCAATACAATACTAGAACTTCTTGACATTTGCTTGGTTTGGCCGTTAATCTTCCCGCGTGAAAGTCTTTTATAAGTTATCTTTACTCATAATTCCTGTCAACTCAGCTGTAAATGGGTACAAATAATCCAGGAAATCAATGCCAAGAGGTTTGGTCAAGAACCAGCTGGTACAAAGGAATCATAATTGAGCCTAATTTGTTATTGTAAAATATAGTTCTTTCTTATTTTTCATAAACAACTGTGATGATCCAGTGATAAATAAGATTCTAACGAATGTTGCTAGTTGTCCACAGATTCTACCTTCACCTATAGAGAGAAAGTTTACAGAAAGTAATTCTGTTCTGTCTACTATATAAAATGTCTGTATCACAGATTGTTGTTGTAGTTATAATTCTGTAGAACTAATATCAGGAATTATAATGCCTCATTCTCTGTCTTCTTAAATCATCTAAATCAGGATACAATCCTAAAACATTAAAACAAAATCTTATTTTGACTTCATACCACATTCTATATCAGGATTTCCAAACTCTTTCTGTTTATTTGAATTACCTCCCTTCCTATTATAAATCCTTATTATTTCTCACGTTTTCCCTGCAATTATTTTCAACGTAACAACAAACAGTGACTCATTAACACCCAAAAATATCAAAATTACTCTCTTAGGGAATAATTACCAGTAGGTTGAAAATAAAATGAAAAGACTGTCTTTTCTGCCTCATGTGGGCTAATGCAGACGGTTCCCAGCCCTCTTACCCCCTGACCTACAGATTCCCTCAGACACCATGAAATAGAAAAGTAACTTACGTTGACCCCCAGTATTAGCCTGTTGTTCTCTATAACTATTTTCTCTAGCTCGACGTAACTGTTCTTCTTCTGATAACCCTCCTGTATATTCTTCATGAAAACCATACGATGGTGGGGGTGGGGCAGAAGGTTCCGCTCTATAATTACCTCCCCTGTATCCACTGTAACCTGATTGGCTGGAATAACCTGACCTTTGACCTGTTCTCTCTGAATGATATGTATATGTGGTTTCTAAATAGAGAAGAATATAAAATATAAAGTGTTAGACAAAAACAATTCACTTTTCATTTACAAAAACCAGCTGTCCTGATAAAGATTGTGTATCAGAAACATTTGTTGACAGCATAAGATTAGCTTTATCCAATCCAATTAGATTATCACCTCAATTTCATTGGATTGTTTGATAGTAAATACAGCCAATCATAGGTCTCCACAGAGAGACTGTAAACAAATAGGCCATATAGTCTTTCTGTCCAGGGCTCTGATTGGCTTTATTCGCTAACTATAATCCAATCAAATCTGATGCGTTTACAATCTGCATCTGATACAAGAAAAGTTCATTGATGTCAAGGTATGAGACAGAGATCGGTGAAGATGGCTCACCTGGTGACAGAATAGAGTCCATTATTGGTTTTAAAGGTCCTTTAATATAAAACAACCCCACTACAATACCAGCTAAATGTCCTAAAAATATCAATAAAATACAATTCAATTACATGTATACTTTTCATGGTTATAAATGACATTTGTCTTCAGAGTGATATTCATATCCCATGCAGTGTTCAATGAGGAAAATAACATTGTACAGCCTGCATCACAGGGAGCCTTAGTTTACTGCCTTCAATCCATTTCATAAGACAATTGTTTCAGTATAGATGCAATTTTTTCCGATAGGGGTAAGTGTATATATGTATTTTTTATGAGTAAGATATTTTAATGGATATTTTGTTAAGGAGAGAAATCTACGTACCAGTAAAAGAAGCGTTGGGTGTGACCAGTTGTATAAGTATTAATTCTACCCAGTAAATATATCTAGATGGTACAGGTATAAAACCTAGAGCGTAATGTAATCCAGGTGGAGTATAGTGAGTTACTAACACTTTTAATGCAAACAATACACCTGAAATAAAATATATTAATAGTATTTAATATAGTACTGTAAAATAATAAATAATATCAGAATTCTGCCATACTGATTAGGATTAGATATCTGGAACACGTCAATAGCCCGACTTCAGGTCAATAATAATAATAATAATAATGATAATAATTTATATAGCGTCTATTGTCTAGAAATGTTCTACTCAATGGTGCTGAGTTGCTGTGTCATATCTGGTATTAACAAGTTAGTAAATGTGTCTTAAGTCCAGGCTTGATTATGTCCACTGAATTTACAGCTTAAACATGTTTTGGTAGATTATTCAATATCTCAGGTGCTGCCTCTGAAAAAACACGATCACCACAGTAAGTTCACTAAGTTTTGGGCAGATCTTTTCTAGTTGTTGAACATGAACAGAGATCTCCAGTTTTCATTTCTATCAAATTGCTTAGGTAGGTTCATTTCAAGTCATTTATTTGGTCAATGACTCTATAAAATATTAAACTTATACAGTTATAAGCTTACAGTCGCCCAGTCTAATGGAAATTAAAAAAAGTCTCAAAATCTTAACTTTGGATGATATTAGGATTTCAGTCATCTGATTGGTCAATCAGTAAATTCAAATTTAAATGTAGATCCAGATTATTATTATTTCTCAACAATCAGAACAATCTACTTACCTGAAAAACCTACAGCACATTGCATACCATATGAATGATCTTCTAGTGTATTTTCTAGTAATAAATTCAACCCTACATACGTGACGCTAGTCAGAGCTGTAAACACGGCAACCAAATACGCAAAATATATACTTTTAAACTTCTTCTCTAAAAACGTTCCTTTCCAAATCAACGAGGACATGTTGAAGTAAAGATGCATGTCATCAGCATGATACAATGCTGATAAAAATAGTCGTTCCCATTTTTTATGATACCAGACAATGTATGAACTCATACAAACAGCATTAGCCGAGTAGAAATACTGGGGGAGAAAATCCAAAAATATTGCCACTTGTCCTGCAATTAATGCTAATGTCACTGGTGGAATTTTCTTCACCCCTACGTTCATTATTTGAGATCCTAACAGTATCAGTCCTAAATTCGTCCCTCTCCTTCGTCCTGACATTGTTGTTTTTTTTAGGATGGAGTCCAAATGTAATCGATGTCGATAATTATGTTTAAACCATAACAAACCGAAAGTAGAAATCACAATTCGTTTACAATTCTAAAATTTGGTCTAATCCTATAATATCTTCAAAACTTCCGTAACAATTCGTTAAATATTCAGAACACTTCTATAGCCCATATGAATCTTTAACAATCAGCAACGAAAATCGCAATTAATCAGCTAAAAATATAAGTTTCTGATGAAAACGAAGAAAACGTTTCACAAGAGCTGCCATATTGATAAAATAAACCAATCAAAATAAAGATACACGTGTACTTCCGGTATGGATTTAGTCTCGAATTACAAGACTGGATTCGGTATAGGAAAATGAGCAGAGTCGTTTTGGACTAGATGATCGAAAATTCTTAAAGGGATACTTTCGTGTATTTTTTACATTGGGATTTATTCATCCATTAGTAGCAATTACCTATTTTGTACTACTTTTCGGATTCTGATTTACTGATAAAAATTAACTAAATTTAGTTTATAATTCAAGACAGTGGCACCAACTTCCTGTAACCAACATGTGAAAAGTGACTAAGTGTGAAAAGTAAACTAGACCAATAGATTTATAAACATCTATAACTAGATCTAATCCAGACCACATATATTGTATTCTCTTATTCTAGACCTATAATTATTTAAAAATCATTATTATTAATTCATTGCGTCCTTCAGACATCAGAATTTTCACCTTGGCCTATGCTTTTGTAAATTGAATTTATGTTGTTAAAACTAGTCACTCATCACATATTTCATGTCAGCCCCACCCCTCAGACCTGTATCTCTGACAGACGGGGAAAATTAAAGTGACATAAGGACATGGGCTTTTGACTTCTGACAGCAAGCTTTCTTTTATTGCCTAAAACCATGCACAACAAAACTTAGAATAGAAAATACAGCCAGAGAAAAAACACACACTTTATTTAAATTTTACTTATATAATGATGAATAATATTCTTCTTCTAATTCAAATAAATCTGCTGCCATTTCATCACGTAAAGACATAAGATTACTGTCTACCTCGGCTTGTAAATGTTTATATAACTGACTGTTCTGAGTGATAGACTCATTCACTGATGGAAAGTCGTTTAAAATTAAAAATTGTTTGATATCTGAGGTTAATTTCATTAACGATTCTCCAGCTCGGACCTGAAAAATAGAAAATATCAGGATTATCAAAAGAGACAAACAAACATATTACATAGATGTAGGCCTATCTGGGAGGAAGTTATAGCTTGATATTGTGAAGATGTGATACAAGATAGATGTCTATTGTAGTCAAGGTATAAGATAAAGTATGTAATAGATTGATATTGTGAAGATGTGATACAAGATAGATGTCTATTGTAGTCAAGGTATAAGATTAAGTATGTAATAGATTGATATTGTGAAGATGTGATACAAGAAAGATGTCTATTGTAGTCAAGGTATAAGATTAAGTATGTAATAGATTGATATTGTGAAGATGTGATACAAGAAAGATGTCTATTGTAGTCAAGGTATAAGATTAAGTATGTAATAGATTGATATTGTGAAGATGTGATACAAGAAAGATGTCTATTGTAGTCAAGGTATAAGATTAAGTATGTAATAGATTGATATTGTGAAGATGTGATACAAGATAGATGTCTATTGTAGTCAAGGTATAAGATTAAGTATGTAATAGATTGATATTGTGAAGATGTGATACAAGATAGATGTCTATTGTAGTCAAGGTATAAGATTAAGTATGTAATAGATTGATATTGTGAAGATGACTGGTATCAAGAAGTAAAGAAGAATTAGAATGATAAAATCATCTCACTATATTAGCAGCACGAACTTGCATCTCATATTGATTTTGTTCTGATTGAGTTGGTCGACTAATCTGAGATTCTTCTTCCACCTGAAATTTATCACAACATATCAATCAAATATTGACGGAATTTGAATATCAGTTTCAAAACAATACAGGGTCCTTATTCTTTAAAACAAAGCTGAAATAAAATCCAGATTTTAAAAAAATACAGTAATTTGATTGGATAATAAAACTAAATTTAAAATCATTTTTAGTTATTGACCAATCAGATGACTGGAATACTCAAATCATCTTAAGTTAAGTTTTCATGGATAAGGCTCTGATAGTCTTCTACTTTGGACTGTAAATTGGAATGTTGTAAATTGTTATAGTCTTCAATAAACATAACTTTACAATATAGGAGAGTTCGGCCCCCATTGCTCCAAAAATATAACCTTCAACTTCATCATAAGTATGTTATTTCTCAATGTAAATTTCAGACATAGGACACGTTTTTATTGTAAGACTATTAAGACTTTAGGGGACACCTTTAAATAAAAAAAAAAACAAAGAAAACTTAAATAAGCACAAATTTATAAAATTCTTCTTCCAAACCCCAACAGAAATAAAAATATTCATATAACAGGAAGCTAAATAGAAAACATGCCTGGCAAGACAGTTAAAACAACAGTCTAGAGCTTTAGTCAGACATGTTTGGTAAATACAGCCTATAGCTCTAGTCAGACATGTTTGGTAAATACAGTCTAATCAATGGTCTATAGCTCTAGTCAGACATGACTTGTAAATACAGTCTAATCAATGGTCTAAAGCTCTAGTCAGACATGACTGGTAAATACAGTCTAATCAATGGTCTAAAGCTATAGTCAGACATGACTGGTAAATACAGTCCAATCTACAGTCTAGAGCTCTAGTCAGACATGACTGGTAAATACAGCCAAATCAACAGTCTAGAGCTCTAGTCAGACATGTTTGGTAAATACAGTCAACACAATTTAGAGCTTTAGTCAGACATGACTGGTAAATACAGTCTATAGCTCTAGTCAGACATGACTGGTAAATACAGTCTAATCAATGGTCTAAAGCTATAGTCAGACATGACTGGTAAATACAGTCTATAGCTCTAGTCAGACATGACTGGTAAATACAGTCTAATCAATGGTCTAAAGCTCTAGTCAGACATGACTGGTAAATACAGTCTAATCAATGGTCTAAAGCTATAGTCAGACATGACTGGTAAATACAGTCAACACAATTTAGAGCTTTAGTCAGACATGACTGGTAAATATAGTTAAATCAACAGTCTATAGCTCTAGTCAGACATGACTTGTAAATATAGTTAAATCAACAGTCTATAGCTCTAGTCAGACATGACTGGTAAATACAGTCAAATCTACAGTCTATAGCTCTAGTCAGACATGACTGGTAAATACAGTCTAATCAATGGTCTAGAGCTCTAGTCAGACATGACTGGTAAATACAGTCAAATCAACAGTCTAGAGCTCTAGTCAGACATGACTGGTAAATACAGTTAAATCAACAGTCTATAGCTCTAGTCAGACATGACTGGTAAATACAGTCTAATCAATGGTCTAGAGCTCTAGTCAGACATGACTGGTAAATATAGTCTAATCAATGGTCTAACTGTTGTTAAATGTTAAATGTTAAATTAAATTAACCCTCCTCCAAGTTATTTGGGGGTTAAGGGTGTTCAATATATCCTGTTTTTATTAATTTTAAGGAATTTAAGAACTCTATATATTTGCTAAACCAAGTGAAAGTGTTTTATATATGATATATTATAATTCAACTCTAACAGCTGGTAAAGTAAATATCTAGTTGACAATATCCTTGTTCATTATATCTTAATTACCAGTAAGTTTGTCTTCCAATCTGTTAAACCAGCCCTGTCATTAGCTAGCAAAACATTTAGCATCATTTTATAATTTTCTAAATAACAAGAATCTTCACAATGTCAAGTTATCACAAACTTCACCTTATACCTTGACTGTATTAGCCATCTTTCTTGTTTAATGAAAGCTGTGATTTGATTGGCCAATCAGAGCCCTCGACAGAAAGACTGTAAACCTTATGTTTTATTGCTTACTGACTTTCTGTACAGAGCTCCAATTGACTATATTCGCTAGCGTAAAATCCAATCAAATCGGTGCATTTACAAACTTACATGATACAAGAATAGTGGCTATTGCAGTCAAGGTATAAGTTTGTAATAGTTTGATACTGTAGAGATGTATAACATGTCATAATCCAATTTCATTTTAATAAAAATTCTATTTCTATAGTAACCAGAACAAACGGACAAATCCTTTCCACCCACAGACTGTTTTCCCACACCAGATGATAATTAGCAGGATGAAGAAGGTTTATTATTTTTACCTCTTTATGTAAACTCAGAGAAAATTTAGCATTCCTGTTTTCAACCATTTTCCAAAATTTAGACAGCAAGAAAATGAGGGTTTTTTTTCACAAGAACATGATTGTGTTTTATTGAAAGTGGACAAATACCAAAAGATTGATATAAACTTTCTTAAAAGACTCTTTTACAAAATTAAGTAAAAGAAAATTATGTGAGAAAGTCACAAATAATTTTGGTTTTGTTTTTCACAAGATTGTCCATTTTAAAAATGTATCTTGACTTTTTGAATGCTGAGTTGACAATGACAGCTGTAAAGTCTGGAAATTTTAGAAAAATGGTTGAAAACGGAACCCGCAACCACAATGATATGATATCTGATGAAAACTTACCGAGGAATTGGGGGATGTATTTTCCTTGAAATAAAATTCTAGGATAATTATCATTTATAACATGATATAGAGTTATCTAACTTACAATCTAATTCAAATTACATTACAATTTCCTTTTCACACTATATTTTTTATCAGTCTCCATTGTAATCTAACGAGATTTATACCAAGGTCACATACTGGTGACGTTTCAAGCTATTTATAGCAGACAATCACATGCAAATCTTCGGCCAATCAGAATCACTTTTACAAGCGCGTAGCAAAAGTCACATCACTCATTGGTTATATCACTCAACTTCGGGTTTCAGTATCCAAAAGTTGATATTTAGCAAGTATTATGAATGACACGCTGTGATTGGTTGAAAGAAAAGAAAGAAAATAAGAAACAACTATATTTTACAAGGATAACAACGAAGGTTCACAGTTAAGGATCCTTTCTACCAGCTGGTTCTTGACCAAACCTCTTGGCATTGATCTTTCCTGTATTATCCATACCCATTTACAGCTGGGTTGACTGGAATTATGAGTGAAAATGACTCATTCAAGGTCATCGGACTATGATGAACGTCAACAGTACGTGACCATGGTATATATCATGTTAAATTACAATGGAGACTGTCAATAAATAATAACAAAACCAAATTGTAATCTAATTTGAAATAGATTGTCTAACTATGATAACATCTAATAACACAAAAAATAGAAATGGAAAATACGAGAAAAAATAAATTAAAACAAAAAATTGAACAGAATCATAAACAGGATTGTAAAGAGGTTATCTAATTATTTTTATATGTTTTGGGGCCATTTATGAATAGTTGAATGGTAAAAATCACTATTCGTGTGAGCACTACTTCTATTTGTATCATTTGAAGATGGAGTCAGATGTTTGTGGTTTCTGTAATTATAGAAATGCTAAACAATATATGACATCAATATGGCAAAAGCTGTTGAATATCCATTAACCTTTTGAGATATTGACGTCATAAAATCTTTAAATGACATTTAGTAATTGTAAGTATGATATATAGAAACAACTTAATGGAACAACAATCACTGGTTAAAGTTTTATACAACGTTTCTACGTGTTTCCCCTGTCGTCTTCACATAGACGTCATCACACACTTAGTTTTAATGGAATTGCAACATTCAAGTTGGACTGAATATTGGAATAGATACAATTAAGTCCCCAAAAGATATAAAAAGTTTAGAAAATCTCTTTACAATCCGTGTAAGATATATTATCATTTGTCACTTACTCTAGCGATTCTCATAATGTCAGTAAAGTTACGTAACATAGACTGTATGTCGTCTGTCAGATGTTTTTTATATGACTGGAGTAGGGCATCTTTACTCTGGGGTAAGACTCGTTGTGGTTGTTGAGCCATTCTTAAATCTTCTCCACACGTTCAACTGCAAAAAAAAAATTCCCCATTTTAAACAAATTTTTATCGTAAGATTCATGGTAGAACAGGGCATTGGTAACCTACATAATCCCTATGACTCCATTGAAATTCAAAATTTTGAATATGTTGATTTTAGCACAGGCTTTTTCGTTCAGTGCAAACAAATAATTGCTTCCATATAAAATATAGACCATATAGAAGGAATTTTTTTGTTCCACTGGACAAGAAAGCCTCTGGTTTTAGGCCATTACTACTAAAAATATAGGCATGAGTTGTTCTACACACAGAGATATTGTTGTTAGTGCCAATGCTTCTATAGGAGAGTATCTTCTATAACACCCTTCTATAACAATCTGTTGTTGTAAACAGAAAAGTAGGACGTAAAACTCCATTCATTTTATTTTCTGGTGTTGTAAAAGAGTTTATCGGATTAACAGGAGCAGGGGAAAGACCCAGCTGAGTTTTATAATTTACAGAATTTTTGGAGGAGCAATGACGAATTTTCCTGTTTCAAGGACTAACAATTTAAATTTCTGTTTTGCAACAGAATTATTCTAGAAATTCAAACCTTTTAAATTACCAAATAAACATTTTTATTTGAAAATGTCACTTTTTGTTCTTTTTTCTTGTTTACACCGGAAGTAAATTTCGTCACGTGGTTTGTATTCGACTTCCGTTCTACCTTTTCCGGCAAACAGCCAACATGGTGGGTTGATGAGTGAAATTTTTCTCGACAAAATCCACTCCAATCTTCTCTACCATCCGTTGCATATTTCGATAAAGCTATATAATGAAATTTCAACCATTTTTCTTTCAATCCCATTTGCTTTTACCTTTCGATATTCCTTAGATTCTGTATAGATTGCTCTCAAAGACGTACATGTAAATATTATGTTTAGCTTGAGAGATGTCACATTGTCGGTTTGTATCCACGTAGAATTGGCCCTTGCTATAAATTAACACTTTAGGCCCTTTGCATACATCCGTTAATGGCTGCAGGGCTGATATAATGAGATCTATGCTGTCATGGTTGTTGATTGTTTAGTTAGGGTCATGGTTGTCGTTTGTTTAGTTAGGCGTCCATGGCGTATCTTGATCTGTGCTTGAAGGTGCTTTCCTTACTGGAGTTTGACCAATTTGGTTGAACATAGGGATATAACATCAGTTAGTCATAGTTTGTAGGTGCAATAGATTGGTTTTAATCCCTCGCTGTTACGGGATTTTTCTCACTCCCTCGATCACGGACGTGGGTATCAATCTCAAACAGCATGTGAGAGTCTGATGACTTTTCCTCATTATTCCAATGAACCCAACTGTAAATGGGTATGGATAATCCAGGAGAAGGATCAATATTTGGCCCAGGACCAACTGGTAGAAAGGATCCCTTGTGAATCCTAGTAGTTTCCTTCAGAAATTGATTTAGTAAGCTGATTTGTTGTCTGAAGAGAAGGAACTAATCAACTCAATTATGACCATTTTGTATGTTTTGAAGTTTTATTTTGAATGAAATTTAAAGATTGTTATCTGTATTTCAGCCTCCTACTAAGCCGAAGACGAAGTCAGGAAAGACTATCAAGAAGGGAGGCAAAAAGAAGATTGCTGATGCTCCTCTTTCCAAGAAGAAAGTTGATGCTAAAAAACTGAGATCAAATCCTTTATTTATCAAGAGACGAAAGGATTTCCGAATTGGTAATTTGATTATTCATTTGATGGTTGGAACTCAGTACATAGATTGTGATAAGTCACTATATGTGTATTTTGTGATCAATTATAAATACTTTACAATAGCCGTATCTCTACAGCATAGTGGCATAATAGGCAGTTTACAGCATAGTGGCATAATAGGCAGTTTACAGCATAGTTGCATAATAGGCAGTCTACAGCATAGTGGCATAATAGGCAGTTTACAGCATTAGAGAATCCATTGAATGTTGTAATCTAATAGTCAACATAGTCCAAACAGTGTGCTACAAAAAAAGCTTGTTAAATCTTTCGAAATTCATAGAACAGCCTGGGGCCTCATTCTTTAAATCTTAACTTGAGATGATTTGTTAAACCCAGAATATTCAACCAAATTGTAAGCCTACTGAATATTGTGATTGAAATATCTGAAACCTAACAGTTTAATTTTGTAATTTAGGTCAAGATATCCAACCAAAACGTGATCTGACAAGATTTGTAAGATGGCCTAAATACGTACAGTTACAACGTCAACGAGTTGTTTTATACAAGAGAATCCGTATTCCTCCACCAATCAATCAGTTCACTCAGACCCTAGACAGACAAACTGGTACGTATTAACATCTGTAAACTCTGATAGAGCTAAATCTCAGCTCTCATTAACACATTCAAAATATAATAGTACAAGTATAGCTATGATGATATATCTTGATCTTATCCTATAATGAAGATATTTATTTTCTATCACCAAGATCTCTGAGCTATATTCTATTTTCAATGAAAACAAAATTAAACTTTGTGTAGCAATGATGTAACTTCAATTCCTTCAACTGATTCTAGTGAAGAGAAAACTATTTATTCTCGAGCCTGAGCTTACAAAGTTAAGTTTAAGAATCATCATAAAAAAGATACTTAGATCTTTAGTTATTGAATGAAATGAATAAAGAAAACATATCTTTTACATGTTAATTTGATAAAGATTGTATAAAGATTGTATAAAGATTGTATAAAGATTTTCTGAATGTAATCTGTATCAGGGGACACTGCTTGTATCAATTTGCACCAGTCCAATTTTCAATTAGAACATCTATGGGTCATACATTTCCACAATTGAAAAAACTGTAAATCTAAATCTAAACAGATATTTTGTGCATTAGGAAAGTTAGACTCTTAAATAGTTGAATTCAGAATCTTACCTGTTGGTGCACAAATAGCTTTGCTGGACTTTCTAGCAACGTCTTTATCAAAAAGTAGGACATAAAAAATTGAATTTCAGTGGTACTACAGGTAATTGTTAAATGGCTACTTAACATGTCTACTCTCTGACTACAATGTTTTCTGAATTGAATTTTGGCAATCATTTTTATATGAATTGAAATATCAACTACAAAATACTAGTGAGAGTCTTAGATTGTCTTTGGGTTGATGAAAATGTTAACCACTTGAAAAGTTATTTGTAAACATGATTTAATAGAGGGGAATTTTCAGTCTGAATAGTAGGTCATTTACACATGAATTTTCTGGAAGGGAAGTGTGTCTATTTTAAATATAAAATCACTATAATAGATATATATATATTTCTATTGACCAGAAGACATTGTAAGATAAATGGTATTTAATTTTGAATATTCATGAAATAAGAGATAAATTCAATTCAGAGTTCAATATAGTCAGAGTAGTTGAATGTATCTGAATATGGAATAAAGAGTTATTTTGGGTGTTTTCTCAGACTTGAGCTATGATGATATATCTTGATCTTATTCAACCATGAAGATATTTATTTTCTATCACCAAGATCTCTGAGCTCCAATTCTTGTTCAAAGTTTAAAAGTTGAACATTGATTTCTATGTAATTGGCTCCACAGCTAGAAGTTCAGTCTGGTTTTTAACTCGTATTTTAAACAGTAGCTATGTCAAGGAAATAAGTAACAACAAGATCTAGCTATGATTATGATATATTTTAACCTGATTTCTATGAAGGTTTTTAGAGCTTTTTAACCCTGAGTTAGATCTTATCAAAAATTAACAGGTGAAAACATTGGTTCTTAGGCGTTTAAAATGTTTTACAGTTTTCTCAAATTTGACTGATAGATAAAATTGTAACTGGTAAATTATCTAGAGGTCTCTAGACTAAGTATGTATATCTTGAGAGTATAAAAGATTCTATGATTGTTTTGTCAATTCACACTGTAGCTATGATGAGTTTATATTTAAACCTGATTTCTATGAAGGTTTTTAGAGCTTTTTAACCCTGAGCTACTTGTAACCAAACATCTTTCTGGGCTTTTACAATTGATGTACATTTTGAATACCTGTTTTCAAATTTTAGCCAGTCCGTGGATGATTTATATCAACTTAAAATCTTTTTCACATATTTCATTTCAATAAATTTGTAGATTTTATCTTAAGTTAAGATTATGATTATTATGAGTATAAGTACAGGTTTAGTATAAATTGGTTCATGTGTCTTTATTGCAGCCCAACAGTTGTTTAGATTGATGGATAAATACAGACCAGAAACTGCTCTAGCCAAGAAAAGACGATTGAAGAAAAGGGCTGAAGAGAAAGTAGCTAAAGGAACAGACGCTCCAACTAAACGACCAGTTACTGTAAGATCTGGAGTTAACACTGTCACTAGAATGGTAGAGTCAAAGAAAGCACAACTTGTTGTCATCGCTCATGATGTGGACCCCATTGAGGTGAGATCCTGTGAGACACAAACTATGATTAGGTTTATTAGCGAGGGAGTGGGGAGTAGAAAGTTCTCTGCAAAAATATTTATAGTAAAATTATTAGGAAGGGGCTTGGGGTGGAATCTTTTTAAAAAAGAAATGATCAGGGGGACCCAATGGTGTAAGTGACATGAAGGCTTGTATTAAAAAGAGATCACTAGTTTGGTCTGATTCAGTCATGATTTATGTTTGGTTATTTGCTCATCTGCTGCCTAGTAAATGATTATCATGTAGAAATGTTAATATTTGTTGTTTTCAATCACTAGTTTGGTCTGATAGTTTAGCTAGGCTAGATGTTTATTTATTTCCGTCATTATTTATGATTTGTTATTCATGGACATCACGAATATGTGGTTCTCTTGTATTTGTTAGGTATTTGACTGTCTCTCAATTTTGTCTGACATTTTTTCGTTGATTTGTTTATTAGATTAATATATTTGACTGCAATGATGTAAAATTAATTTCTTCAACTGAAACAATCTATGATGTTACCCCATTGTGACATTTTTAACTGAGCAGTCTCCAAATTATTTCCTCCCCTAGAAAACAATGGCTACCAAATAAACCGTGTGATTTGATAAAAAATATTTCAAATTTTAATGTTTAAGAACTTTGTGTAGCAATGATGTAACTTCAATTCCTTCAACTGATTCTAGTGAAGAGAAAACTATTTATTCTCGAGTCTGAGCTTACAAAGTTTGATTAAAATTTGATGTTTTTATCAAGAAAATAAATAAATAGATAAGAGATTTCTGAATTGTATTTTTTTTGTTTTAGCTAGTGTTATTTTTACCAGCTTTGTGTCGTAAAATGAACGTTCCATACTGTATTGTGAAAGGTAAATCAAGATTAGGACGAGTTGTCCACAGAAAAACTTCTACCTGTTTAGCTATACCAACTGTTAATTCGTAAGTATGTTTTATACACATATATTTTAATGTTGGCCCTGTCAACACCTCCATAATGTCAAGCTATAACAAACTTTGTCTTGTACCTTGACTGCAATATTCACCTTTCTTGTAACAAGTGTGTTCACTTGATTGGCTGTATTAGCTGGTGAACAATCCAATCAAATTCATTAAAATTCCATGATGTAAAACAGGTGGCTATTGCAGTCACAGTTTGTTTGCGAACGGTATGTTGGAAACAGTTAAAATATTGAGTCTTTATATTGATAGAATCTAGATAGTATAACTGACAAGTTCAGATAAAAATTCCAGTTTCTGAGACTGAAGTATGATTGGTCAAAAAAAATAGCCCACCTGTCCCTTCAAATAGAAAATATTGTTGACAAGGGTCAATGTATAGCTATGATGATATATCTTGATCTTATCCTATCATGAAGATATTTATTTTCTATCACCAAGATCTCTGAGCTATATTCTATTTTCAATGAAAACAAAATTAAACTTTGTGTAGCAATGATGTAACTTCAATTCCTTCAACTGATTCTAGTGAAGAGAAAACTATTTATTCTCGAGCCTGAGCTCACAAAGTTTAAATCTTCTTGTGTGTACTGTCTAAATTAAATATTAGAGGGCATGCCCTATTGTGGATACCTGCACCCTACTCTTAAGCCCCCTTTTTAGTAGCAATGTAGTTTACTGCAAGGCTGTTGATTAGGCTGTATTTGCCAGTCATTGCTAGATCAGCTGAAAGGTCTGGTCAATAATCTCTATAGGTCATCAAGTACAGGTTATATAATATAATGTGTAATTGATATTTCAAACGTGTACTAAGACTATTGAATTTACCTCATTGTGCAATCCTTGGTGATAATGATATTATTATTATTGTGAATTATTTCAGTGAAGATAAGTCATCATTAAGTAAGTTAGTAGAAGCTGTCAGAACCAACTATAATGAGAGACATGAAGAGGTGAGAGTTTTCACTGATTTTACTGTCTGATTTTAACATAGAGATAACACAAACAAACGTACATAGTTACAACTAACTTGAATCTCTTCTCTGACTTAATAAGGTGAATTTTTATAAATACATTATTTCAACATGGCCTTAAAAATCAAATATTGAAAGATTTTTAATGGATTGAAATGTGAATTGTAAGACCTTGTTGAAATATAGTGTTTATAAAAATTTGAGGTTTTAAATGGAGGTAGAGATTTAAAATAGTTGAACTTGGTACATTGATATGTTATTTCTATGTTAAAATCAGACATAGTTTCATATAGAGTGAATCCTAGAGACCATATAGAATATTACCAGAAACAGTTTATTGATTGGTAGATTAATTGACCTCGCTACTCAAACATGTTTCAGATACAAAATCATCATCAGAACAGCTTTTTTATAGTTCACTTCTGAAAAAAAATTGAATTTAAGTCTATGATTAGAAGTAAGCAAACTATCTGAACTGAAGGAAGACTATTCTACAAAGCTTTGTCCTTCCCTGGTATAATTTCAAAATTTACAGCATTGGCCACTGCTAATGTTGGATTTCAGTAGTATATTCTGTAGCTAAGAAATCCAGTTATTTAGTTTGTAAAAAGTATAATGAGTATTTGTAAGATCTAGCTATGATGAGTTTATATTTTAACCTGATTTCTATGAAGGTTTTTAGAGCTTTTTAACCCTGAGTTAGATCTTATCAAATATTATTTGTTTTACCTCCTGAGTGAACTGATACCAGCTTTTTGCAACACATAAGACCGAAAGTTGCTGATGGTCGAAATTAATGTCAAATTTGGGTTGTAGGCACGATAGAGACTACAGTTTTATCTGATGTTGATGAAAATTGGAATGCATGTATATATTTATTATTTTTATTTATAACAAACAAAAATAGCTCAGTTCTTTCAGAAAGTTTTTGATTAGAAAATATACTAATTTATCTTTAATATTAATTTCAGATTCGTCGAACCTGGGGTGGTGGTATACTCAGTAAGAGATCTCAAGCTAAACAGGCTCGTATTGAGAGAATCAAGGCTAAGGAATTGGCCCAGAGAATGGCCTAAAATTATACTGATAATACCAATAAATAAAAAAAACAACATCTTTTAGTGTTTTATCTTGTGAAAGTTTTAACTGTCTGTTTTCTAGTCTTTTTATACGCCCACACGTAAGTATTGGTGTATATTGTGGTTGCCCCCGTCGGTCCGTCCGTCCGTTCACATTTACAGGCTACAATTCTCTATAGATTCTTTTGATCTTTTGTATGTGTGTCAATATCATTATGAAGATGTGCAATATTGAATTTAGTGAGGATCCAATGATTTTCTTGAGAGATTTCACATAAAACTCTGATATCACGTTCGTTTGTTTTTTTTTTCACTTTTTTGGCTCGTGCTCACTCTACAGTCTCGTTATAGAGTTTGTTTTACAGTTTACATTTAGCTCTTTATCAAGCTGCTGGTGGTCGTATTCACTTGAGAGACTTGCCTCAAGCCTATGTTTATGTGTATCAAGGACACCTTTAGCTTCTGTTTGGGACTTTCTAATTCTTCGTACGATGCCTATGGCTCCTGCAATTCCAGAAAGAGTTAATCGCGAATGACGCAGCCCCATCCACCACAGAATAAGTAACCTAACAGACCACAATAATATAATATATTATCTCCCCTTACAAGATAGTGGCATTTCCAACTAAAAATTGCCGACTCGTCCACATTTTATTTCCCCGTCGCCTTATAAAACTCTTTACTACATCTTATATTGTTTAGTTTTAACAGAATGGAAGAGTTGTATATTTGTTTAAATCAGAGAGATAAATATCATAGTTTATGATAAAATGGTCGGTTTGTTATATAGTGAGGTGTTTGATTGGTAAAGTTAGTAGTAGTGGTATTACTGGACTAACTTTATCAAAGTTAAACACTTTTTTAGGAATGGAGATTGACGGTGGTTGGCTAAGCAAGGGAGGTAATTAAAGGTGATATATTAGTGTTAGTAATGTCTCTGGTCGAGGTTGTGAATCGTGTCTGTCATTAAAATAACTAATGTAAAGATGTCATTAAGACCTCTGATCGTCTCAATCATAGTAAAATCTCACGCCCCTCTCTTCTAGAACAAGATTCAAACCAGTTTGATATTTGTCGCCAATTATTTTATCGTCTGCAAGACAGACCGTCATCAATTAGATTCATTTCCCTATCAATTGCCCGACCCGGCGTTGAATATCAACACGGTGGAAAACAGCGACTGGAGAGTTTATGTCTCGTGTTCCCGCATCCGGTCGGAAAGACTAGTCGGCGACAAAAATCAGCAAGTGCGTTCGTGTGCCTGCACATTACACATTGCCCATTAAGTCGTCTATATACCCATGATTTACCCCCAATTTATACTCTCACTCAGATTGGGAACAATGGTCAGCTTCACCAACAGACATAATGTCACATCAACATCCCAAATCAAACCCCTGTCTCGGCCCATGTTTCTTTAACAACGGTACGAAGACTGTTCACATCTAACCGTTGCTCTCGCAATACCATATTCTCGTCATTAGAGAATAATAACTTTCAGGCCATACGTCATCATTCGATATATCCAATCAGGAATCTCGTAATATCTGGAGTAAAAGGACGGTGATAGATAATGGCGGCATTCATTGAATCATCGAAATCTGTTGCTGATTCGCACCAACCAAATTATAGATCAGTGATCGATGTGAAACTTAACAAAGTTACTTACACGTTTAAATAGTAAAGTAGGTAATTTCTCTGCCAACAAAATTAATGACGAGAATATGGGATTGTGAGAGCAACGGCTAGATGATAATTATCATGGTACCGTTGCGAAAGAAACATGGTCTGTGCTTTAAGTCTTCATGATGTCCGTGAAAAGTTAAAATTACTCCAGCAGCCTTTAGAGTGAATATAATTGAGACTAGGTAGAAAACGGGTTTTGACGTGGTTTTATCAACTATGCACAAATCAGTTGGTTTTATACTAATTTATTATCGTTCAGTTACGGGTTTTTGATTTGATTTTGATTTGATATTGCACTCAGCATTTACATGTACAATACAATACATATTGCTATATCAATTTTTATAACAATTAATTAACAAACAAATTTGTAGAATGTGTAGAACTGTGTAGCTTATCATGGAGAACAGATTCAACGAATAATAAATTATATTGCTATATATATTATATACCAATTATATACAAGAACAGTTAATAGATGACTATAACTTCTCAAGATATTGTTTTCGTTTTTGCCATGAATAGTAAATATATCTTGACAGATTTATAATAATAGTTTCAGATTTGTTTTTCATAATACTTTTAAATTTATAAATTGAAGGCCAACTCCAACAATATCTTGGGAGGTACTTTATTCTTATAACTCTATAAGCTGGACAGCATAGTAAAAAATGAAATTCATTTTCTATCATATTGGTATTATAACAGTCGCAGATTCTATCATCTCTTTTGATTTTTAAATATCGACCAACTTCAATTTTTAGTTTCATGGTTCCCGATCTAAATTTACACATAATATTTCTAGATTTCCTATTTGAAATAACATTTAAATATGCAGCACGATTAACTAGGTAAGAATCAGTTTTTAGACTAATTTATTATCTACTGTGTTATATAATCCTTGTAAGACATTTAGATGTATCACAGCACATTAAGACACATTAATTGTTATGGAAATAGACATACAGGTAACGTTATTAAGTAATTATTAACAATACAGATCAGAAAATTATATATACCAGCCAAAAACTTAACAAATAACAGTTAGATTACATTAACTCAAAATTATAAATGGAAAACATACACTAATTAATCTAATCAGGCTTCTCTAAAGATAAATGTGTTATATATACTATGTTATTATGTGTTAATGTTATTTATTATCTACTGTGTTAATGTTATTTATTATAGTTATAGTTTCGGAATTTTAACAAAAAACAAAGATAAAACTTTTCATCATTCGTCATCATCAGCTGTATATCGGCGTGCAGCCCTGACAGCTGCCCCGGCTGTTCCAGCAACTATTGCTGTGTTAGCTGCTAATCCCGCTGCACCAACAGATTGAAGAACAGCTACCGTGCTTCCTGCGGCTATCGCACCTCCGTTAGCTACAGCTGCCGTCGACATCATACCGGCCGCTAAACTTCCAGCTGTTATTCCTGCACTAGTGAAACCAACAGCCCCTAGAGCCAAGGGACCACCAACAATAAGTGCACCACCAGTGAGAGCACCGAATACTACGTCACCAAATGTAATACAGGTAACTGAAATGATTAACGATAAGATTTAATAAATAGATCCAGTTAAAATTAGACCAAACTTTCTAACGACGGACCTCTTGAACATTCAAACCAAAAACCCTTTGACCTTACCTGGTGACCCTTGCTTTAACCAATCGAATTGGGATTTTTTGACAAAAATTGTATTCTCAGAAGCGTAAAACTCGTTTATCAAGACCACTGAAGTTAAAAGTTTGTCGGCCCGTCCGTCAACATTTCTTGTACAATAGAGACTACAGTTTTCATCTGATTTTGATGAAATTTGGCGTGAGTATTGGAATTGAGAAGATCTCGGTCAAGTTTGAATTTAACGATTTTTTAATAAACAGATTTTGAGTTATTGCCCTTGACGTAGTAAAATCGCGTCAATATTTGATTGTGACTCCAATGAAAGCTACAATTTTCAATGGATTTTGATTAACCTTGGTGTGAAGTTTGAATTTTACGATATTTCAATGAACGGTTTGTTGAGTTATTTAATTTAGTCAAAATATGTAAAATTTGTTCGTGAGATTACAGTTTCTATCTGATTATAGTGAAATTTGGAGTGATCATATATATTGATGAGATCTTGGACATTTCGAATTTTAGGATTTTTTGTTCAACGGTTGAACGGATGAGTTGATGCCATTGATGCTCAAAAAGGTATAAAATTTGGTGTGATCATATATATATTTTATATAGTGGAAAAGTTTGCCTTTGACTAAAAGTTTTTGCCCTAAACTTAAAACATGACAAATTTTTGCATGCGCCCAATAGAATCCATTTTTCATTGGATTTGAAACTTTGTGTGATCATTGGAATTGATAAGGTCTTGAGTAACGAGTTGATTCTGAGTATTGAATAGAAACTTGACAAAAATTTACAAATCTCGTGTGTTGACGTATGTTTACCTTGCCTAACAAGCTATCTTTTATATATTTTAATAGAAAAAACGATATTTACCTGTATTCGTGTTTAATATGAGTAAACACAGTAATATTCCTGCTACTTTTTGGTTATTCATTTTCAGGTTGTCGGAGTAAATATAAATTCGGTATAAGTAAATTAGACAATGTTGCTTTGACTGTCAATCTATCTTCTGATGTCTAGATTCACAGCATTATGTTTATATCAATGTGCGCAATTCATTGATGATGTGATAAGCCGCCCATCCCCGATTCATCAATTGGTTGGATTTGATAGAAAAGAAACGAGCTGATACGCTCAGATCATTCTGTCACTGTCTACTATGATTAATAAAAATTGATAGTGGGTCAACTGAGTTAACTTCCCATTATGGTAACTGCCAAACAACTCGATTTCCAAGAAAATGAAAATAGGAATTATGTTGAATGATATGTAAGCTTTGTTTGTTTTATTTACCCACACGTAGTATGGAAGTATATTGTCCTCTGTCCATCTGTTCACAATTGACTCATGCTCACTGTACAGGCTACAAACAATGATTTGTACTTACAATCAATGCTGCTGGTGGGCGTATGTCATGTTGCTTGGCAAGGCTATCTTTGGAAGCTATTTGGAAACTGCTGTTCAGGTGTGAATAAAATTCTGAAGGTTTTAAGTATAATTTAATGGTTGAAAGTTTGTCAATAAGTCTAATAATGATAGTGGTACGAGGACCGAAGGCCCTCGCCTCCCCTTTCTGGATTTAATAGGGCACTTGATATGTTCGGGATCCTTGTAAAATTTATCTAATCAAGGAAGGCGGAGAATTTATTATGACCCCAAAATACACCACTGTCATGGCATATACGGTATCGTTTCGTGATTTACATTTTGCATTGTTAAATTTTATAAGTAATAAGTGACAAGGATGACCGAGGTATTAGAATTATTATTCCCTTGGTTGTATCAAATTTGAAACATTAGTGTCGTTTATGAAGAGATGTTAGTGCTTTATTTCTGACATATTCTAATTCTAGGAATAAATCTTAGATTAATTATTATGACTAGTGTTTATAAACTATTTGAAGTCAAGTCAATCGTGAATACGTTTATAAAACAGGTCACATGGCAAAGGACCAAGAGTCCAATATTTGGAGTCCATTATTAATGTCAGTATTGGATTCATGGCCGTTTTCCAGCACCATTTAGGATATTGTTACGTCGAGATCAATGAGTGACGTCACATCTGTATGTTAACTAAATATAACGAGCCATAATAAAACTAATTAATTAATGAACATTTAGTATTCTTCCTTTTTAATGAACCCTTTTAAAACAAATTCAGTTTGATCAAGAAGATATATAGATATAAATAACATACTAATATATTTTCAATTATAATTTAGACGTTTTTGATAATGAAAACTTTTACAAAAAAAAAAATCTTTGATATTGACTTTATATACCAACCACTTTACTTACTTTATTTTAAATATAAATTTACATACACTAACACCCTAAGTTTAGTTGGTCTCGCCCACATAACATTCAATGAACTCAATTTCAAAGAAAATGAAAATAGGAATTATGTTGAATGAGATTAATGTAAGCTTTGTTAGGTTTATAAGTAAAATATTTATCTATTTATAGTGACTTTGTATAGAAAACAACTTGACATATTATTATGAATATGAAATATCCAACAACACCCTCAGTGCAGTTCGTCTCGCCACCACGACAGGGTGACCTACCACAAAGGTCTAATAAGACTTTTGGCTGTGAAATAGAAGTGATTTTTATACGCCCACAAATATATTTTGGGTGTATATTGTAATCACCCTGGCGGTCAATCGGTCTGTTCACATTTGGTTTGTGCTCACTCTACAGGCTACAATTCTTTACAGATTCTTTTGATTTTTATTTTGTGGGTCAATTTATGATGCTCTGATAATTTTTCACCGAAATATCGTGTCCGACTTAGCATTTTCAATCTATTAGCTATATAAGTGAAAAGATAGCTTACCAGGCAAGGTAACAAGCGAAAAGATAGCTTGCCAGGCAAGGTAACAAGCGAAAAGATAGCTTCCCAGGCAAGGTAACAAGCGAAAAGATATCTTGCCAGGCAAGGTAACAAGCGAAAAGATAGCTTGCCAGACAAGGTAACAAGTGAAAAGATATCTTGCCAGGCAAGGTAACAAGCAAAAAGATATCTTGCCAGGCAAGGTAACAAGCGAAAAGATAGCTTGCCAGACAAGGTAACAAGTGAAAAGATAGCTTGCCAGACAAGGTAACAAGCGAAAAGATATCTTGCCAGGCAAGGTAACAAGTGAAAGATAGCTTACCATGCAAGGTAACAAACGAAAAGATAGCTTACCAGACAAGGTAACATGTTAAAAGATAGCTTGCCAGGCAAGGTAACAAGTTAAAAGATAGCTTTCCAGGCAAGGTAACATGTTAAAAGATAGCTTGCCAGGCAAGGTAACAAGTTAAATGATAGCTTGCCAGGCAAGGTAACATGTTAAAAGATAGCTTGCCAGGCAAGGTAACATGTTAAAAGATAGCTTGCCAGGCAAGGTAATATGTTAAAAGATAGCTTGCCAGGCAAGGTAACATGTTAAAAGATAGCTTACCAGACAAGGTAACAAGCGAAAAGATAGCTTACCAGACAAGGTAACAAGCGAAAAGATATCTTGCCAGGCAAGGTAACAAGCGAAAAGATAGCTTGCCAGGCAAGGTAACAAGCGAAAAGATAGCTTGCCAGGCAAGGTAACAAGCGAAAAGATAGCTTCCCAGGCAAGGTAACAAGCGAAAAGATATCTTGCCAGGCAAGGTAACAAGCGAAAAGATAGCTTGCCAGACAAGGTAACAAGTGAAAAGATATCTTGCCAGGCAAGGTAACAAGCAAAAAGATATCTTGCCAGGCAAGGTAACAAGCGAAAAGATAGCTTGCCAGACAAGGTAACAAGTGAAAAGATAGCTTGCCAGACAAGGTAACAAGCGAAAAGATATCTTGCCAGGCAAGGTAACAAGTGAAAAGATAGCTTACCATGCAAGGTAACAAACGAAAAGATAGCTTACCAGACAAGGTAACATGTTAAAAGATAGCTTGCCAGGCAAGGTAACAAGTTAAAAGATAGCTTTCCAGGCAAGGTAACATGTTAAAAGATAGCTTGCCAGGCAAGGTAACAAGTTAAATGATAGCTTGCCAGGCAAGGTAACATGTTAAAAGATAGCTTGCCAGGCAAGGTAACATGTTAAAAGATAGCTTGCCAGGCAAGGTAATATGTTAAAAGATAGCTTGCCAGGCAAGGTAACATGTTAAAAGATAGCTTACCAGACAAGGTACAAGCGAAAAGAT